GTATAGTATAGTTAAACAATAGTATAGTAAAACGATACATGGCGATACATCAAGTTAATTAATATTATTTAAGCATTATCTAATTGTTTTTGTTGTTGCAAAATTAAGATACAATAATTATAACTGTGTTTAGGCCTTTGCTATGTAACTATATTAGTCGCTAACTAGCTATAAACGATGTTTGATATTATGGTCTTTTTTATAACATCACAATATAATTATAAGACATAATTTAAGTAAATAATTTTTACTTACAGTTTGCACAGGTCAAGTAATTGTTCCTTGGTTTGATAAATGGGATAATCAGGGTCACCAATAGGCGGAAACATCCGTAGATTCTTATCCGCTGACATTTCCTCATCGGTAGGTGCATCTGCATTGATGCCAATTACGCCTAGATTGTTTTTGTATAAATGAGTTAATTATACTAGGTACGAATATAGTTATTGTGTTTAGGTTATGCTGCAAATGCAGTGTTATTTAAATTAATTAAATTACTTTTATATTTTTAAAAATTAATTATAAATTATTACTGCATGTGTTTAAATATCCACCATATTGAATAAATAAATTAATTATTTCTGACATTTTGATTAATAATTATACAATTAGTTTACAATTAAATCGTGATTTAGAACTAACAATTTACTAATGATAATAACTATTGTAACATTTAAGCTGCTATTAACATAAATATATTAACTAGGTATTAATTAACAAAAAAAATTAAAAATGTAATGCTATAGTTAATTAACAAAATTACAAAGTAAAATACAATAAATACAGTAATTATAGTACTAAAAATATAACTTACCTATGCAAACAAAGACCCAAACATTGACAAAGATCATTTTTGCTATAATAAATAAAAAATAATGATTATGGCTTTAAAACAATTGTGTATTTTTAATTGTAGTTACAAAAATAACTAAATTACAAAAATTACTTTTTATAAATGAATGCCCAAACCCTGATGGTAAATGAGTAAATCATAAATGTGTTAATATCGTACAGTAATATAATATTTAAAATCAAAACCTATTGCATTAAATGTGCGTTTGGTGTATAAAATATTATAAATTATACTTATTTATTTATAGAAAAAAATATTAACATTTATCTTAAATAAAACTTAACAAACACTTTTATTTAAATAATTACAAAAAATGCTAATAGTTTAAGAATAAACCATGGTATATATCGTATAGAGTAAAAAACACTTTTAAAGGTAAGAGCACAATTACTTATTTAAAAAAAAATATTTTAATCATTATTTTTTATTAAAATGCCACTCACTTATAAGGCACTGAATCTCGTATATCGGGTTTTCATTTGAATCAGTAATAAATAATTATGGTTAATTTCTTAATTATTTAGCATAATGTTTAATAAATAATTAGTATTTACTGCAAAATTTATTAATACAGTATAATATTAGTAAATGTAGTAAATAACTTTGAATAAAATATTTCAAAAACTGTAAGAAAAATTTTGTCATTTTAAATAATTAAAATTTTAATAAGTCTAATATATTTTTGGCGCTTAACAGTGTTACAAGCTAGAATCATTATTTTAATATTTGTTGTAATTTTCTAATTTTAATATAATAATTTATACTTTAATTAAATAATCATTCAATAACTTATAATAATTAATTTAATTATTTATAGATAACCAAATTATTAATTTGTTGTTATTATTAATTGAAATATATTTAAGCCTGGTTACAAATTATTGTTTCTATTCTTATAATTGAATTTATATGAACAAATATGGTAAAATTTTTTATTTTAAACACCATAAAAAGACAAATAAATTGAATTTTATATTTTGTAAATCTACAAAGAATTCTGTTACAGTTTAAAATGATCAATATTATTTAAAAGTGAAAAATTAATTTAACATTAAACAATTTATAACAATGTTATTAGCAAAACAGTTGCTTTAAAATAAAATTTAATACATAAATTAATTGTAACTCATTATTAATAAAACAATAACTTATCAGACGTGCAGTAAATGTTTGTTAAATTGCAAACTAGTAATCAATCTATTGGTCAGTCATTTAGATCTCGTAGAGTTAAATACAAAATAGTTTTGTCCATTCAATTTGGTTGGCGCACAAATCACGGCTCAGACCATACGAAAAGAGTATTACAAAATAAAATAATAATTTAATAATATATATTTATCTCATGTACAGCACTTGTGTGGGAAGACCAGGGACTTTTCAAACAATTTTCATTATAACGTTGACTAATTTATATTAAACTTATATATTAATAACAAACAAATAAAATTTATATCATTTTGCAATTATTTATTTGCGACATATTTAACATTTCATTATTATTTGTTAACTTAATTGCCGCTAATTTCAATCCACCAAATATAATGTATGAGCTATATTATTTTAAATAGTAATAAATTTAATTTATTTTAAAAACCGTAATAAAAATTTGATAAATTTAAATAATTTAAATTTTAATAATTATAATATTACTTGGATGTTTTTAGATGATTACATTTTAAAATACATTATTAACAACATAAACTTAAAAATTATGATAAAAAATACTTAATTATGTGTATTTTTAAATTTATTCTATACATTGATTGACACTAAATTATTGCTGTTATTAAAATAAAATAATCTTTGAATTGTTCGTTCATTTCATATATTACTTGTATTTAATTCATATTTTATGCCAATTATGTGATATAAAAATGAAATAAAAATTTTAAAAAATAAGTTATATTAATCGCAATTAATGTCATTTTGAAAAATTAAATATTTATTTAATTATATTTTTAAACCATGCGTTCATTTCAAACATGATTTTTTGCACTATTTTTATCAAAAATTTATTTATTATAATTTTGATATTAAAATCTCTGTTTTAAAAAACACTTTCATTTGAAATAAATATAATTATTTAAAATCCAATTAAAAACTTATTAAAAATGTTATAAAATGTAATGAAAATATGTGTCAATAGATGTCTCACTTTCGAGAATTGATCGTTGAATGCGAAGAACACATTCCAGAAGTGTTGCGATTATTTCGAGACAATTGTCTTAATTTGCGAGAAGTTTACTGTTTTTTAGAGGAAAATACGGCACAAATGTATCAACAGTTCGGACCACTGGTCACACAAATTGGTAGTATTTTTGTGTAAACTATTTAAGACTAACCACTGATTGTCTGCCCAATAGATTGCTATGAGTTGTCCGACACTGTCGTCGACATCACTTCCGGACAACTATTGGCCAACAATTTGAAGGCATTTAAGTTTTATAACTATTACGCCGAAGAGAGACAACTATTGTCTGCATTCGTGGCACACAATCAGTGTCTCAAAAGTCTGGACATTAAAAATATTAACGACGATCTGAACGCTACTCTTCCCGAATTGGCCGTACAATTGTCACGATTAACACAATTACGGCGTTTGAGACTCGCTTTGGATCTAATGAATGACATCTCATTGACCGACTTTTTACGTACAATTGGTGTGAATTGCAAACAATTGCAACGATTGGCACTCAGGTTTTACAGCAATCCACTCATTAGTAATGTTAAAGCATTGGATTCATTGCGATATTATTGCCGATTAAAACGATTGGATTTAATATTATATGAGGCCTTCGACGAAAAAGTGTTGGAACCGTTGCGACACTGCAAGAGATTAACACATTTGGAGTTGGATTTACTGCGAATGACAGCAAATGTGTTGAAAGATTTGCATCAATACCTATTCATTCGTGACTTCTATAGCATTATAGACACCGAGTGTTTGTCTCACATCTCAAGACTACCGGCGCTGCAAATGCTTGTCATTGGCTTTGAAAACTGTGGCGCAGAAACTCAGGATCTCTCGGGTAATGATTACTCGGATCTGTTGTCCAGAAGTCCTAAACTTAAGAACATTACAATCAATGGACAGAAGTCTTATTGTCGTTAAATTTAGTTAAATGTTTAAAGATTTATAAAAACAGATAAATGTATTTAATATATATTTATTTTCATGTCATGCATTGTTTTTATTATTTATTAAATATTTAATTACTATTAATTATGTTTAAAGAGTTACAATTGTTTTCAATTAGCATAATTATATTTTAAATTTATATAATCAAAGTCCTAGATATATCATACAATATTTACTTATATTTGCCTACAGGAATTCATAAATAATATAATAAATATAAAAATTAGTACATTCCTGGAATAAACAATATTATAAAACTGATGTTTCATAATTATATACCAATCATAAATTAATCCCAATAAGCTCTTAATTACGTGATATAAGTATTTGCTTTTCAATTAAATAATTTCAAAGAAATGTGTTCATCCGTTAATTGTGGTGTAGAGATTGAAATTCCAGTATCGGTGTCGCGATACAATACTAACGATACTGAGTGTCGGTATCGGTATCGCGACACCGATACCGACACTAGATATCCAATACTACCAATACTACCAATACTACCGATACTACCAATACTACCAATACTACCAATACTACC